TAAATATTGATATAATTTTTATAATAATTGTAAATATGTATATACAATGAATGTAAAATATGCTATCATAAACTTTTTTTTAAGAAAAAATAACGATTCAATTAAAAATTGCATGGTTACATTAGTATCAGCTATATAAATTGATCAAAAATTTACATCAATTGTATCTGATTTTTTAAAATGTTGATAGCAAGTATAAAACAAGATGTAATCTGTTCATTTTTTGTTTATCTCACACATTTCTTATTTACTTCATATTTTTGTAACTATATGTTGCTTCTATTAAGTGGAACTATAAAATATTGAAGAGGTACGCTTTATGAGACCGGTACGCATTCGGCAACTTTCCCCTATATATATATGTTTAAACTTAAATTTTCAAGCTGTAAAATTTTTATTTTCAAAGTTCGAAGTAGCAACTTCGTAAATCTAAATCAAAATCTAAATATATATATATATATATAATACAATATATATATATTCTTCAAACAATTTGAAATTAAATATTTTCAGGTTGTAAAATTATTATTCTCAAGGTTCGAGGCAGCGACCTCGTAAACCCACCGTGCAAGCCATCCGGCCCTGCGCTTCGCATCGCGCACCGTATGAGCGACCGCGCGGCGCGCGCACACATTCACGCGCGTCGAGAGCGCGCGGATAAATCTCCGCGGCTCTAAAGCTTCCAGTAAAAGTAGCAAACGGCCGGCGTCCTTCTCCGGCGTGCTCACCGCGGAATGCATTTCGCAATTTTATGCTAATTTGGTTAGTCACCCTCGATCAGCGGCACAAGCTCGCGCGCGCGCGCCGCTGCGGAGACAGGAGAGGAGACGCGCGTGGGTTTAGATTCGACGGTACGAGATACAAGTACGTGGCGTATAGACAATGGCGACGACGTCGATTTGGCCTTTCGACACCGCCGCCGTCGACTGTTCATTGTCCGCGCCACGTCCGCGACGTCCTCTTCTTCTACCGTTCGCTCTTTCGGCGAGCCGGAAAACGGCAAAATGGCTGACCGGTTTCGCGAAACGATATAAGTACATATGCATATTCATTATTCGTGTTGCGCGCGTCATCCTCCTCTTCTGTCAACACGAGTATTTAGCGCCAAGTTTCGTACGTACAAAAAGTCTCGTAAATGTTTGTAACGGGAATTAAAAGAGAGATCGTTTAGAATTTTAAAAAGTTAAAATTGTAAATCTCTTCTTTACTTCAAAGTTTAGAGAAAATGTTGACCTTGCGGATTACAAATTGTTACTTCCGTCTCTGGAACGAAAGTTGAAATATAATGAATAAAATGAAAGTTGAAATGTAATAAAATGAAAATGATCTAGTTATCAAGTGTAACAGAAACAGTCAGTTTCGACATGAATTTCAACAAATATCTATTTTTATTTTTTCAATAGTTAAGACAAATAATTGTGCAGGACGCAGACTTTTGACTTTTCTGGATGTGAAGTACCTCATCCAAGCGGGGGAGAGGATAACACAAATATTTGATTCTCTTTTGTTGTATGTGTGAAATATATATTTTTTACATATATTCTTTTATATTTCTTTTCATATATTTTCTCTATAAGTCAAATGTTTGTTAAATTCAAAATTTCTTCAAATTCGTCAAAAATTAAAACTCTTTTTAAATATCCCGAATTCTGGGGTATGGAATTCTACACTCATGAGAGTTCTAGATGTAGAAAGCTTCATACCCTCCACAAGAAAATCTCCGTCCCTGAATAATTGTAAGTGTAACACATCACACATATATGTTAATTATTTCTAATGTTTCAATGAAATACTGGAATAGAAGTCGGAGGTAGGGAGGGGAGGGAACAAGTATGCCACTGAAACTGATTTGTAAAGTTGTTTGTGTATTTTACAATTAATCTAGTACAGTATTAATTAAAAGATACATGCAAATCGAAGGATAGAAATTCATTTACATAATCACAATATTATTCTCTTCGCTCTCAATTTCAAAGCTTTGCTTAAATCCCCTCGCAAAGGTTCTTTCGAGGTTAACGTATGCATGCATATTATTGCTTCACTGCATACGTGTTAAAGGATAAAACCTCGAGAGATAATAAATCTCTCTCTCTCTCTTTCTCTCTTTCTCGAGCGACAATCTCGTAGCGAGCGTTAATGGCGACGAGAGAATAGGAACTTTGCGATGCAAGTTATCCAGGTCAGACAGAGAAAGCAGCAGCCGGGCCGCGCGCGCGGTGATACAAGGATCTTATGTAATTCATAATCGCGCGCCTCTCTCGCGGCTATCGAGGCAAGAGTCAGCCGCGGGGAGATTAATCGTGCGTGATCGCGATCGTGCTGCATATAGGTTGGAGATATACCCGCCGCGGCTCGCCTCAAAGTCACAGTCGCGCCCGGCCGAAACCGTTCGACCGAATCGCCGAGTATTCGCGCGCCGGCTGCGTCACACAAACGGGGCATTGTCTCACTCGAACGAAATTCAGTCCCGTGACCGGCCTTAAGCCGATATGAGAAAGCATGCTTTTAAGAAGCACTTTCTCTACCCGCATTTTTTTTTATTTTTTTAAATATTATTATTCGCTCCGTATCATTCGCAATCGGAACTTTCGTGGCTACGCGTCACGGCGAGCCGTTCGCGTGTGCGATCGCGCCGCGTTTCCTCGCGGCGTCAATCATTTCCGCCTGCCCATAAGGAGAACATTACGGAGCCTTTATAGAATCAAGTGAAATTTATAGCATAGAAATTTCTAACAATTGATTGTGCACAGAAGTTTCTAACAATTGATTGTACACAATTTTCTAGCTGGTCTAGCACAATCATCCCGACGCTCTTATTATCCGATGAGGGAGATAAATCTACGGGAAAGGGTGCGCAATTGGTACGCAAATATCGGAATATTAATAAACGATAAATATATACAAGATGTGTGAAAAAAATATGCACTGTTTTATAGAGGTGTGCGAATCAAGCATTTGCATGGTCGAATCGAATCGAACCATTGTTGATTCGAAATTCTCGAACTATTCGATTTCGAATCTTGCAAATTCGAAAACGAATTCGAATCGAATTTTTTGTGACTCGATTCGATTTGATTCGAATTCGAACTATTCGCACACCTCTATTAGTAATGTTATAATAAACAAGACCATGTATTGAAAATTAGCATTAATTAAAATATATCATTATTACTTCATAGAGTTTATATTTGCAATTGTTGCAACATATTAAAGATTCTCTGTTTCATAAAGGATTCATATAAAGTCACAAATAAGCAGTGGATAGTGTTATAGTGCCCACCAAGGCGAATAAAAAAACTTCTAATAAACATGGATCCAGAGCTGCTTTTAAAGTTACCATCGATTTATTTTTTTATGTCAAAAGGTCCCGCGTTCGTTCACATTCAAAAGCCTTGATAATAATCTATTATATAAATCCAGCAAAGAAAAATTTTAACATTCAGATTGCTAGCCAAAAATAGATTTTGCAAAGCGTCCATTTTGTCTGCAGAGAATACCGAAATATATAACAGAATATCTGCAAGTAGATTAAAATAATGAGTAAATTGAGTGTGGAAACCGAACTGAAATTTTATGAAATCTGTAATTTTATAACCATTCAAACGAAATATTAAAACCTTCATTTTGCATTAGGTAAGTCATGTGGCTTCTACAATTCTAATATTTAAGATCAAATGAATAAAAATATCAATCCTTGCAGAAGAAGCAAATCATATTTCGATTTGTTTCCTTCTTAATTCTTATAAAGAATCTCCACTGCGGATTTTGCAACCGCCGTGACTCGCTCATGTCTTAATCGAGGGTCAATCATCGCATTTATATCTCTTTAGGCATGGTGGGGATGACTCCAAAGAGAGTCGAAACCTTAGTATTGCAATGCATTAATGTAATAATTGTTAATATATAATTTGAGCACCGAAAACTGCTTTTGACTCTCTGCGTCAACCTTAATTTATATTGTAATTTTTAAATTTGAGAGTCCACATCATTTCAATATTAAAATATTAAAATGTTTAAATGTATAAAGTGGCAAATTTTGTTCGGCTTCTACTGACACTCTGCTGTCATAATGCGGTAGGTTTTGCCAGCAAAACACGAGCGCGAGTTTAACTGCAAATGCAGTTGATGATAATCTGTCGCAATATTCTGCTCGAATAGCTTCTTCTGACGTGCTGCTAACATCTTGCCTACTGAATATGTAGCACTTAATTAATCTATTAAAATTTCAATTTAGTATACATATCTGCTACTAACTTAACGCTATAGTATAATTCCAATTCAGCATGTTACATTAGGTATGTTTCTACTCTATAAATTTTTTTGAGTGACTTTTCACTGTTTTGGAGTGAATCTCACTCCAAAAGAGTGAAAATCCTGCCACTCAAGTGGTCGAGTGGCAGTTTTTTCTATCTTTTGGAGTGAGATTCACTCCAGAAAATTTAGAGAGTAGATTGAGAACTTCCTTTCGGATTTTAGGAAATAAATGTTTTAAAATTCAACGTGCACAAATACATCATAAGATCCCTCAAATCGTACGCGAGCGTTACTAATGATGTATTATTACTCGCATATAGGAATTACAGAAATATTTAAAAAGCAAAAATATATTATGAAGTCAACGTACATACATATACACAAGTGCCTTTTCACAACGTCTTTAATGTAACCGCATTAATTTAGTGGTCATACGCTCATTTCCGCTTTCACATATTTCTCGAATAGAAGAAGGAGGGGGGGAGACTCCGGGGAGAGACCGAGGAGTGTTCGCGCATTCTTTTCAATTTTCCGCGACATGGGTAGGTGTCATTAACCCGAGAGAGCGCGGGGGGGGGGAGAGAGGACGGGTTCATCCTCCACGGTTGCGGACGAATGCATTGTCCTTGAATACTTTCGCCTAATCGTGCGTCGGCCGGGAATGTCGTACGCCGCGCGGCACGCCATTTTAAAGACCGACCGCATGAACTTTGTTCCGACATTCCGTCGCAAGATGAGACGGAATCCGTCGCGCGGTATATAACTCTCTCGTAGTGGTATCCACGATTAGACCCGAGAGTACCGTCCCGCATCGTACCCTCCCTCCTCCCCTCCTTACCCCGATGGATCTACGAGATCGATTTATATTTGTTCTGGTATTAACCTAACTGTTTCTCGTTTATATTATTTATTCTCATTACTCTGCTCACGTGATTACACGGTCAACAACGGACAGCAACGGGCAGCACACAAAGCTGGATACGCGGATACGCACGCATACACGAGTCTAAGCCAGGGTACGAGTTAAATTTCTTGATTCTCAACTGGCCTGGTGAGCTCCCGATGCATAAGAACTGACTGTTAATTTAACCTTCGCTCGTTCTTCGAGAACAGGTATACCAGAACTGAAGTTTTTCGCACATGCACATACACTTGCACGTACTCCACATTTATTCGGACCAGATGCACCAGAATTCTACATCCTCTTTTTTTTAATCCGGAATTCAACAAGCAACTCAACATGCCTGGTGACAGATATTTAAAAGATAACTCCTGACACTGACGACTCTCTTTTTTTCTTGCAGATAAATTTTTTGCTTCCAATTGATGAATAGAGATCAATTTATCCGGTAATTTATTTGTAAATATTAGAATTAGAATATTATTAGAAAGTAGATTTTTGCAAAAATGCGATTATTATTTATGATATTTTTTACCAGCAAACATATCGTTTTTTCAAGCCAAGTTTAATTCATATTATAAAAAAAACAATATATCGGAGATTTTATTTCTTCTTAATTTGTAGCCTTTTCTCTTGATAATATATGAAAATTTTAACCTTCTCTTCAAACATTATATGACCATCGTCCATATACGCTCAAGATAGGAAAGCTAGGAAGAACTCAGCACATTTTTTCGATAAGGAATCTTGTCCTATTTTCCAGAAAATCAAAAACCCTTGACCATCGCGCACTTCAAGAGCTGCTTTAAGATAAGATTATATGAACACTCTTATCCTACACATTTTTCAAAAAAACAAAAACATCTTTTCTAATCCTATAAAAGAAGAACTCTTGGATTGTAGCGGCAGTTCTTTCACGTTCCTCGAGTTCCTCCAAACCGATTATTATACCTACGTTAGTAGACCTACGTTATACTGCTATAATCAGTGTAAGCTCGTATAAATTATAAAAGTCATAAAGACTGGCAAATAAATTCCTTCTTTTTATGGAATAATAACTCGCAAATCTAGGATTGCTACCGTCCTTTTTTTTTAGGGCGTCCGAGGTTGTCGTCTGGAGGGATTTTCTGAAGGCATCCGGGGTAATTATGAGCGTCCGGCATTAAAAAAAAATCATCTAGATATTTTGTCTCGACTTTTTCCGCGCTATCCTGTTTTAGTTCTATCTCTGATCTAGAATAGATATAGTAAGCTTAAACATGTAAGTGAATGTGAGGAGAATAATCGACCGTGATTGGGGTCAGTTTTTTTACAGCTTAAGACTTACTACACACTACATCTCCTGTGTTTATTAATGAATTATTAGACGTGAAATAATTATTCATTGACTGTTCTGACTAATTTTATTCTATACATGTATTTTTGTATGTGTCCGAAATTCCAAGCGAAATGTCCGAAGTTTTCGGCCAATTTTGACCAATTTTATTAATCTAATTGTATTTTTGTGTGTCCGGGATTGCAACCGAAATGTCCGGAGTTTTTGTTCTAGATTTGAAAATTTTAATACAGCAACCCTTCGCGAATCATATAATTAAAAATTATATAGATGATTTTCCTTACTTATCTTAATACAGATACAGAATATTTTTTAATAATATGACAAAGTATATACATTCGTAAAATATGCATCACTGAATTACATTAAATACGTTTTTGTGCTTTACAATAACAATCTGCGGATTGTCGAAATATTGCCGAAATATTGCTCCAGCGTGATGTGAGGGCAAAATTATACGTAAAGTAATAAGAGGCTGACTTTAAGATGACTCTAATATATTCGTAAAAGTATGCATCACTGAATATACGAGTATACATTCATAAAAATATGTATCACTGCATTGTACATTAAGTATACATTCTGTGCTTTACAATAACAATCTGCAGATTGTCGAAATATTGCTCCAGGGTGATGCGAGACAAGATTATACGCAAAGTAATTACTGAGAGGCTGACTTTAAGATGAGCTAATCCCGTGTCATCACGGCGATTCATTTCGATTACGATCGCGATGATGCGAGACTGCGTGCATAGGAGTTAGGACACGTCTCCGCGCGAAACGATATCGCCGCGACGGGCATCGATGTCTCCGGCGCGGTATCGCGCCCGAATACCGCTTACGCGAGAGAGATCGATCGCGCGACGACGACGCGCCGATCGCCGAAGCTACTTTCTCAGGCGCCGCTTCCTCTCGCGGAACGAGAACTCACCTCTGGACGGTGTCGCTCCGTGCCTTCTCTTTGACAGAATCGCAGGGCCAAGGTATATAGCCGCGGATCAGTTTGGCACGACCCGACGACCGACCGGATGGATGGTGGAACGAGAATTTTCAGTCGCGGCGCGATGTGACTGAAATTCCACGGGGATTCACGCGGTGGTCCCCCCCCGGGTGTAGAGAACGCGGGTTCGCAGCGGCGATCCAGCAGCGAAACGAACGTGGTCGAATCTCCGCGCACGTTATATTTCGCGGGGCACGGCTTCGAAACTGCGCGCCGTAAACCGCGAGGGTCCGCCCGGTCGTCGCCGATCTCGCGACTTTTCTTTTTTCTTTTTCTATCCGAGCGCGTCGCGGACGATCGAGCAACGACTGGCTTCCACGACGCGATTCCGGATCGTGGTATGCGGCCGCTCGACCTCGCCTAAGAGGAAGGTAGCTCGCGTCGCCGCCGCGAGGAGCCACCGTACGCCGTGTTTGTACCGTTACGCACGCGGTCCCCGGGTTACAGGTGGATCCAGGTACCGGGGACCCGAGGAAACCCGAGAAGAGCGACCGGTTTACCTGTGGTATCTCTCCCTGGTACCGCGATCGGCGCGCGTTTCGAACGTTTGAAACGGCCTGTACATTGCCGACGGGACAGCGACGTGCCTACCGGTCTCGGAATCCTGCGCGCTTCATTTCCACGTTCGGGATCAACTGAAAATTAATAAATAAACGGCGAAGGGAGTGCGAGGCACGTATATACGCTCTTTGGACTTTTGATCATCTTCATTGTGTACTTCATATACGTGTATCGCAGCTCGTTTCACGTTTCACAAAAGTGCAGAGTATGATGAGCTAATAGGAGCCCGCGCGTGTATAATAACCGCGTACAGGTGAAACGCGCGTGTAATGAATGTTAATTTATTCGCGGACAAACGTGTTCGGTGGAGGAAGTGGGTGCGAGAAATATCTCACGCGTTTCGTGGTCCAGTAGTGAGGATATATTCCTCGAAGTATATGCGTATATACTCCGCGCGCTCGGGTCCGCGCATGTCACATCATTGCGTGCGGCCACGTTGCATGCAGGTGCGTGCACCTGTGTATGTACGTGCGTTTTCTCTCCCCACTCTCGCGTGCGGTTCCCCAAATACGATCGTACGCGGATAGGGCCAAAGAGGTCATCTAATCAGGGGCCCGTTGTTCCCAAAGTCTATATAATAAAGGGGAACGGGGAGGGGGGAGGGGAGGGAGAGGGGCGGGAGAAAATTCCTTCTAAAGATCTCCGTCACTTTCGTGGTAACCGGGTCTCGATCACACATCAACGAAACTGACGAAATTCCTGACTATCGGAGCAAACCGGAAAGGGGGAGATCAAAAAATGAGAATCTCTCGATAAACACTTAAGTGATTTAGAAGCTCTAATAATCTAGGCAATATCACACACGATGTCGGGTATGAAGTTATTGTTGAAAAAGATCTGAAATGTATCAAAGATAAAAAAATAAAAATTCGGATGAAACGTTCTTTTTAATGGAAGCCTTTTAATAATGCAAGCACAATCAGAATAAATAAATATTGACATTGTCGGTCTTTGGTTGAAATTTTTTGCAAAATAATAATCTTTGTATGTTTATATGTTGCATTTTTATATGCTTTGATATTGATATACTCATGTATCATGTACAATGATCAAAAAGCTTTTGTTTATTTGCTTTCAATCAAATTTAAATATATATAAATGCAACGAATATAAATAAAATTACTTAAAAAAACACGTTAAAATCATATCTTTTAATTAATACATTTGCTATTGTACAATACTGCTTTCTGTACATATAGTGAAAAGTTGTCAATAATATAATTAATGTTTAATATGGAGGATATGTAACGTAAAATATTACATGTCGACCTTTTCGCATATTCTTGCGCTATTCTTAATAACGAAAACTGTATTCGCATCAATAGAAAAATAAACAAAAATAGATTATGGAAAGGCGGCACTTTGCCGCCTGCAAATCCCGCTACGTTAACGGGCTGAAACGGAAGTTGTTTTTTTCACTTTTGCGGCTTTCGCGTGTTTCACTTTATTTTATCATCGCTCTCGCGCGCGCGCGCGCGATACCTGCTTATCCTCGATTTAGCCAACTTCTATCTGGCGAATGTAACGAGCAAGTAACGACGCCGTTATTTTTGCAACAGGCATTCCTGATCACGCGGCGCATAGAATTAAACCGAGTCCACCCTGTCCACCTATACCGTGGACGTGATGGGAATGGGGGAAATAGGTAATGGGACATACGTTCCACTAATTTTATCGCCTGCACGGTAACAAAAACGCGATATTATTTACACATTTATTTAGAGCATCACGTTTTAATTATCGTTGAAATTCTTTAGTCCATAAAAGACAACAAATTCAAATGACGAATTGAAGAAAGAATTCTTCGATCCTAAATAATAATAATTATTTTAATTTCCGAAATTATTTCAATTAGAAATTTTGTAGATCCCAAGTCGGATAGAAGAATGCAATTAATAATATTATTTGTTACAAGGACGAAGTCTCAAACGATGCTGAACGCATTTCCATTTCATTCCTCTATTATTCTATTAAAAAATAAATATTTGAGTAATAATTAGGTTTTTTGTGGTCGCCAATTAGTTACCACAAAATCTAATTAATTAGACCGATTGATCTCTCAGACTCCTGTTCGCCGCTTAGTAATGCGACCGCGCATGCACCGTAATATCGCAGGTATGCGAGCAATGCACTGTAGGTTTCCCATTCACCGTTCCTTCGATTTCACGAAGCGAAGGATACGCGGCAGCCTTCGGCAATCGAAGGAATTCCTTAATGACGGTGATCAGCGATGCGTTTCCATCTTCGGTAGAAAAAAAAGTTTAACCCGCTTCTTTTTTTTTACTCTTTGACACGATTTAGAATGTTCGACGTTCAAGCAGGGAAATATAACGGACACGAAATTTCCAACAAAGGTATATTATAGAAAGTAATGGATATAAGGGGAACTGCATGGATCACCTCTCACGAAGGGTCAACAAGGATCAAGATGGCTGCAGCCTTCAGCCTCGGTTAAAGCATTACTTGATATTAATCTTTTTTTTTTACATGAAGTAACAGTGTTGTAAAGCAAAATATAAAGAAAGTGAAATAATTATAGACATTTGTAATATTAGAAAGAGAATTTTATCACTAATGCATAAAGAAGTTAGCTGCGGATAGCACTTTCCAATAGTAGATAAAACAGAGCAAAAATATTGTTAGTAGGTAAAGCATTTAACATATAACTTGCTTACTGACAGAAGATATATGAGTAAATTGAATATTGCTGTAAATATTATATAACGTTTGATGATAAGTTGTTTATTGCCATCGAGAGTCAATAAAGTATCATAGAGTGCGCTTCAATGCAATAAATCGTGCTTCTTTTTGAATATCGTTGAATACTTTGTCATTGGAAATCTTTTCTATTATTGTCGAATACATAAATTATTTTTAATAAAATGAACATAAATTACTTAAATTAATTATGTTTTTATATTAATTCAAGTCTTATTTTAACAAAACGTGTAGTTTTTCTTATTTTTTTAGATTTTTATAGCAGACATATTGGCGTTCTCTTTTTTATTAGAGCTTTATTTTTTAAATTTCTCTGAAATTTTATTGTTACGTAATTTTGCCCGTATTACAAAAAATGCCATGCTTTTTCAAAAATTATCAAGAATAATTGGCAGCTCCTCCATTTGCTATCCTCTCTTTTATTTTTATTAAATCGCGAGTGTAATCGGTAGAAAACGCTACGGAACTCTTGACAGAACTCATCAGCCACGATAAAGGATGAGATATGATTTTTTTATCGGCGGCTTTTCAAGCGTTGCGCAAACGGCCGCGACGGATGAGCATATGTCACTCGAGTGCGCGATAAAATCAACACCGAATTACACTCAGCCGCTAAATGATACGAATAAAGTCGGCAAACAAAAACATTCGCGTTTAAAGATGTCAAGCCGCCCGTGTATTAACCCGTGTGCGCGCTAATGTAACAGCTAGAGCTAGCGTTACGGGACGAGCTAAAAATGAAAACCAACAGAAACGTGAAGGAGTGAATACGTAATAAAGTCTTGCCTGCCAGTTATTTCAAGCTTGGGTTTTATCTCAACAGAGAATTTACGCCTTTTGCTCTTTGTGAAAATGCAATCTGTTCTTATTCAAAATTGAAAACTTTCGGTGAAAAACGAGCCTTTTTTGTCTTTCGTCGAAAGAATGATGAAAAATAGAAAAAAGAACAAGTGCTCGAATTTACGAGAAGATTTATCAAATACTCTTTTGGAGTCTGTCCTATGAACTATCGAGAGAGATATACATATATCTTACAGCGCGATTATTCGCGTCATCTTAAATAAAACGGTGTCTACAATATATGACAAATACTTAAGACTTAAGATTTAAGAAAATTGATCAGTAAAAATCGATTATTGTTCTTACGTGAGATGAATAATCGACTATGATTGGTCATTTTTCTTAAATTTTAAATCTAAAGTCTGATTGTAGACGACGTTTTAAGTGCTCGGTATTGCTCGGTAGATTTTTAATATATTTTACAACGAGACTTAAGACTTAACATTTAAGCTTTTAACCATTAATTTGTGATGTTATTTCCGTTCGTAAAGCGGCGTCTACAATGAGACCTAAGACTTAAGATTCAAGCTTTAAAGCGTTAATTCGTGATGTCATTTCCGTTCGTAAGGCGTTCCTTTACTTTAGCCTTAACTTTAATCCTCAAGCGAATTGACGAAATTTCCATTTTTACGGCTAAAAGTCCACGACTTAAAGTCGCGCGATATAAGAACTAATCATCACACTGCCTTCCATTGCCTTTTCTTACGTCTGCTTTCTGATTGGACGCTTAATCGTTAAAGCTTAAAGTTATATCTTATAATGTTTATATTTATTGTACTAGACACTACGATGTAACAGCTTAAGTCTTAACGCTTATACGGTTTAAGATTTAAAGCTTAAATCTTAAGCTCATTGTAGACGCCGCTTAATGTCGCGTATAAGGACCGAGACGCGTGTAAGGATAAAAGCTCTAAACAAGGGTCGGGCGCTAAGTATGCGCTTAGGTTATCGAGCGAGGATTTTTCTACGGGGGGGGAGGATTTTTCGTAATTCAAAGGACGACACCTCTCCCTTTCGATTGATATGGATGAGGCGGCCTGACTTTTGATATACGCTCGATTTCAAATGGAAAATCATGCCTGGATTGGATTCGCACGTGAGCTGAAATAAAGTTACATTGTCGGGCCCCGCGGCCGCGCTGCCGCGCCGCGCCACACAACTCCGCCTTCTGTCGCGCAATATGCTCGCCGGAATATGTGTCGCG